GTGCTATGTGTGGTGTGTGAGCTGTATGTGCTGTGTGAGCTGTGAGCTGTGTGTGCCATGTGTGGTGTGTGAGCTGTATGTGCTGTGTGAGCTGTATGTGCTGTGTGAGCTGTGTGAGCTGTGTGAGCTGTGTGTGGTGTGTGAGCTGTGTGAGCTGTATGTGCTGTGTGAGCTATATGTGCTGTGTGAGCTGTGTGAGCTGTATGTGCTGTGTGAGCTGTGTGTGGTGTGTGAGCTGTGTGTGGTGTGTGTGCTGTGTGAGCTGTGTGAGCTGTATGTGCTGTGTGTGCTGTGTGTGGTGTGTGAGCTGTGTGTGGTGTGTGGTGTGTGAGCCGTGTGTGATGTGTGTGCTGTGTGTGCTGTGTGAACTGTATGTGCTGTGTGGTGTGTGTGCTGTGTGAACTGTGTGAGCTGTGTGTGCTGTGTGAGCTGTGTGTGGTGTGTGTGCTGTGCGTGCTGTGTGAGCTGTGAGCTGTGTGTGCTGTGTGAGTTGTGTGTGGTGTGTGTGTGCTGTGTGAGCTCTGTGAGAAGTTTGAGCTGTGTGTGCTGTGTGAGCTGTGCATGTGCTGTGTTTTCTGTGTGAACTGTGTGAGCTCTGTGAGTGGTGTGTGGTGTGTGAGCTGTGTGTACTATCTTTGCTGTGTGTGGTATGTGTGAGCTGTCTGTGCTGTGTGTGTTCTATGAGCCTTGTGTGCTGTGTATGCTGTTGAGCTCTGTGAGCGGTGTGTGCTATGTGAGCGGTGTGTGCTGTGTGAGCTCTGTGTGCTGTGTGTGCTGTGTGTGCTGTGTGAGCTGTCTGTGTTGTGTGTGCTCTATGAGCCTTGTATGCTGTGTGTGCTGTTGAGCTCTGTGAGCGGTGTGTGCTACGTGAGCTCTGTGTGCTGTCTTTGCTGTGTGCGGTGTGTATGCTGTGTGAACTCTGTGCCCTGTCTTTGCTGTGTGATGTGCGTGTCCCGTGTTTGCTATGTGTGGTGTGTGTGCTGTTATCAGAGGGGTAGTGCATTTTTTAGTGTACAGGGCTCAGGGTGCCCGCCAATCTCATTGTCTGCAGGTGTGTGTTCCAGGTGTGTCCTATACCTGGTCAGCTTCTCGAGGGCAGGATGCTGCAGGTGCTTGTGCTGGGAGTCTGGTCCCTCCTGCCCTCCCCTGGTGCCCCAGTGCCTGTGGCCTCAGGTCTGGCTGTGGGCAGCTGGAGCCTCCAGTAAGGTGAGGCCAGTATGGCACCCAAGGCCTAGCTGAGGAGTTTTCAGTTGGGTGCCATGTCAACATCCAGGCCTGTGCCCAGCTGCTGTTGCTGCGGTGTGCTCTGCGGTCGCCAACCCTGGGCCCAGGAGGCAGTGGGTGTGTCTCTTGCCTGCTCAGGCCTGCTCAGTCAGGGTTTGCTTTTGTAGGGATGAGGTGGTGAGAAGTAAACAGCTTGGCTAATTAGAGCAGAGCTGCTGCCAGCTTCCAGAAGGAATCCCCCGAATCCCGCCGCCCACCCAGCCCACCAGTCCAGACTGTAGCAGGAGTGCGGCATATGCCATGGGCTGGAGCGCCAGAGTGTGTTCCCTGGTGGCAGCGGGCTGTGGTACGGTGGGCACGCCTCCCGAGGCACAGCTGCCATGCTGTGCTGCCCCCTGTGAGAGTCAGAAGGCTGTAGAGATGGTTGACTTGGTACCCCCAGCCCTCTGACCCTGCTGGGACCCTGGACATGTGACTTAAGCTGTGTCTCAAGCTCCACATAAAGCGGAGGTGACAACTGGATCTCTCACTCACAGGATTGCCACCGAATGGTGTAGAGAAAAGAGGCCATGTGCTCAGGCACTGTCCCTGGTGCACTGGGGGCTCCGTGAATGCACATTTGCTCACCAGCACAGCTACAGGCCAGAGAGAGAGGGCAGAGGGTGGGAGCAGTGAGTGTAGAGCCCAGTCACTCAGTGGAGGTGTTAAGAACCACTGGCCCAGAGAGGCCAGCTGGCAGGTCTAGATCACAGCAGCCAGGTGGAGGGAGCTGTGAGGTCGGTGGGGGCCGGGAGCTGCCAGCTGTGAGGGAGTCAGTTAAGAACCGGCTGGCAGTCCACTGGGAGAAGCTTGTGGTGCCCAGCTCCTCCCCTCCACTTGGATTGCTCCCCGCTGAGGGCAGGAGATGGCTGGGAGAGCAGGGCTGGCCCTGGGGCAGAGATGGGCTTTTGTCCTTGTGAAGCTGCAGAGGCCTGGGGGGGGGGGACAGCAGGAGTTGGAAGTAGTTCAGTCCTGGGGTTGCTGATCGTCCTCAGGTTCCCAGGGTGGTGTGGGGGATGTGACGGTCACCCCCATGTATCCTTGAAGCTTCCTGTGCCACCCAGACCTGCCACTCAGACCTGCCGCCCAGGGTGCGGCAGCCTGAGTATGATCCCAGAGGCCGAATCCGTGGGGATGCTCATCCTTGGCAGCACACACTAGAAGGGTCCAGAAAGGCCCAGACCTTTCCAAGCCTCCGTGGGCTGCCCTGCTCCTGG